ACCATGGAAAGCCACCTTCTGCGCTGCAAAGTGTTAGAGATCATTTTCCTGCACAGCTGTGAGACACCCACCCGCCTCCCCTTGTCTCTGGCCCAGGCCCTCTATTTTCTGAACAACTCCACGTCACTGCTCAAGTGTCAGGTACACTCCTTTCTGCTTCACATCACTTTCCCCTCTGCCTGCTGTTTGGGCATTATGTGAGAGATTTGGAAACTGCCTTAATGGAGGTTTTTTTTTTTTTTTAGTTTTATTTATTTTTATACAATGTTCTGTCTGCATGTACACCTGCACACCAGAAGAGGGCACCACATCCCATTATAGATGGTTGTGAGTCACCATTGGTTGCTGGGAATTGAACTCAGGACTTGCAGCCAGTGCTCTTAACCTGTGCTCTCAGCCCTTTAGCAGGGAATTTACCTGAGGAAGCATTTATTATCCACTGATTTTACTGTCTCTGCAGTCAGATAAAACCCAGTGGCAGACCTGGGATGAGCTGGTTGAGCATCTGCAGTTCCTGTTGTCCAGCTATCAGCATGTGCTGAGAGGTAAGGAGCATTTGCTCACAGCAGTGGACATTATCATACGAGAGCTTCTCAGATAATCCTCACTTGTTCACCTAAGTAAAGCTGACACCTGCCTGTAATCCCAGCACCCAGGAAGCTGAGGCAGCAGGATGAAGAGTTGAAGCCTACATAGCAATAGCATGTCTTAAAAATAATAACAACACAATCTGGAAAATTAAGGGCTTTTTAAAAAATAATAACAATCCAGGCAGTGTTGGCACACCCCTGTAATCCCAGCACTTAGGAGGCAGAGTCAGGTGGATTAGATTTCTCAGTTTGAGGCCACCCTAGTCTACAGAGTGAGTTCCAGGACAGCCAAGGGGAACACTGTCTTGAAAATAAATAAATAAATAAATAAATAAATAAATAGCAAAATAAAACTTTTAAACATAGCTGGAATCACTGTAGTGATATGAAAACTTTCTTTTTTGTTTCTGTTTTTTGTTTGTTTGTTTTGTTTTTTTGTTTTTGAGACAGGTTTTCTCTTTGTAGCCCTGGCTGTCATAGAACTAGCTCTGTAGACCAAGCTCACCTCAAACTCATAGAAATCCTCCTGCCTCTGCTTCCCCAGCGCTGTGATCGCCACCACTGCCCTGGTGAAAACTTTACTTTGTTACAGCTGGTGATAATATAAGGTTGTGTAGATAAGCAAAAAACACATCAGGAGAGTCCTGGCTTCTGCTAACACCTTTGTTGGATCAGGTAGCAGATTAGCAGCAGCTGTTGTTTACAGATTAGCAGCATTATAAACAGGTGTGAGCAAAAGACAACATAGAGCCTTTCTGCAGCAAGGTGGACATATTCCTACAAAAGATGTGAGGGGCCTTAAAATGGCTGGGGCTGTAGCTCAAGGGTAGAACATTTGCCTTGAATGCACAAGTCTCTGGGTTCAGTTCCCAGTACTGCAGACAGGGAGAGGGAAGCCTTAAAGCATATGAGAGTTCTCTTTGGGGTTGCTGGGAGAGTCAGTGGCATGCAGGAGGCACGTGTTGGCAAGGGTCATGCAGAATAACTGTCAACTGAGAGTGATTTTATAAGGCAGGGTTCATTGAGGACCTTGGTAAAGCAGAGGAACTGGCAAGTTAATCATTAGAAAGGCTTAGACTGTAGCGCAGTCAGTTGAGGGCTTTCCAAGCCCTGGATTCAGCCCCGGACCACATAAACTAGCACTTAGGTGGAGGCAGGAAAATCAGAAATTCAGAGTCGCCCTTGGCTGCTTAGCAAGAAGGCCAGCTTGGGATGTATGTCACTAAAGAAGTTAAATTACTAAGCATATAGGGGTTTTTATTTTTTGTTTTTAAGATTTTATTTACTTATTTTATGAATGAGTGCTCTATCTACATGTATGCCTGGATGCCAGAAGAGGGCATCAGATCCCAGTATAGATGGTTGTGAGCCACCATGTAGTTGCTGGGAATATAATTCAGGTCCTCTGGAAGAGCAGCCAGAGTGCTCTTAACCACTGAGCCATCTCTCCAGCCCTTTTGTTTGTTTCTTGAGGTAAGACTTTGATTTGTACTTCAAGATGGTCTGGAACTTACTATTTAGGCCAGACTGGCATGAACTTAAGATTTTCCTGCCTCAAGTTCCCAGGTGCTGGGTTTACAGGCATACTTTGTCATGGTTGACAAAAATAGGAACCTCAGAAAGGAAAAGACAGGGCCTTTCCCCTGGACATGTTGCACTGAGGACAGAGCCTCACGCAGAGTTCTTGCCAAAGCTTCTGACCTTGCTCCAGTCTCAAGGAAGGAGCCCACAAACCCAGACTGATAGCTGTTCTAGTCGGGGAAAACTCCGTGGCCAAAAGCAATCTGGGGAGGAAAGGGTTTATCCCTTCTGCTTCCACACCACAGCTGGTCACCAGGGTGACTGGGAAGCAGCAATCAAAGCAGAGGCTATGGAGAAATGCTGCCAGCTGGCATGTCTCCCAGCTTGCTCCACTGCTTTCTTTTCTTTTCCTTTTTTTTTTTTGTTTGTTTGTTTGTTTTGTTTTGTTTTCAAGACATTTTCTCTATGTAACAGCCCTGGGTGTCCTGGAACTTGCTTTGTAGACCAGGCTAACCCTGAACTCACTGAGTCTGCCTCCTGAGTGCTGGGATTAAAGGTGTGTACCACTATACCTGGCTTCAGCTTGCTCTCTTACAATACCCAGCACCAACTTCACCTTCCCAGGAATGGTATCACCCACAGTGATCACTAAAGAAAATGCCTTATGGACTTGCCTACAGGCCAGTCTTTGAGAGGCATTTTATCAACTTTTATCCTTTCCTTGCAAATGACTAGCTAGTGTCAGTTTGACATTAAACTTGCCAAGAAGAAACCGTTTATAAATGAATGACCTGTACTTCTCAAAAGTACTGTTCCTAAGAAGGGTAACACGTGATCCTCAACAGGGTTCTAAATTTAAAAAAGGTGGTACTGGAGGGCCGAAGATCGCTGATAGAGCACCCTCCAGCACAGGCAAGCCCATGGCTCCCAGCCCTAACCCCTCAAAAGTGAAGGGCCCTGTTGTGAGAGTTGGTGATTCTTATTTTGTTTTTCAAGACATGGTTTCTCTGCATAGCTGTCCTGGACTAGCTTTGTAGACCAGGTTACCCTTGAACTCAGTGATCTGCCTGCCTCTCCCTCCCAGAGTGCACCACCACTGCCCAGTGTAACGAGGAAGTTTTACTTGCCCTTGATCGTGATACGGTGGACTCTAACTCAGTGATGTTACATAGAAAGAGACCTCATAGGCCTGCTTAGGCCTAAGACCAAGAATGCTGTGCAGCACTTTTTTTTTTTTTTTTAGCTCTCCCTTTCTTTCTCTTTCTCTGTCCATGCTGGCACTGAACTTACAGCTATACTGCCTCAACCTCCTAAATCCTGGATTACATGTTTCTAGGTTCTCTTCTCTAAAATACAGGTGCTGTGTAACTTAGAACTATTCTCATATGAGGAAAAGTAGTAACTATTCCATCACCGTTAGCTTCATTTCAGCCTGCCTGCCTGGCGTCTTTTCTGCTTCAACCTTACAACTAAACTCCAGGGGTTGAGGTGGTGAGGCTAACAAGTGAGCGCAAGCCTCTTCATGCCCGACACGTGCTTTACCACTGCACTGTGCCCAGTCCTTGTAACTAAACGTCAGCAGGTGCATTGTCAGGCCCAGAACAGGTACAGGTGTGTGCATTCTTAGCACCCTCGATGAAAGGTATAAAAACACACTAAATAAGTATAAAAATAAAATTAACTCAGGAAAATTTTTTCTTAAGTGGTTATCACAAAATAGTTTTATTTAGTATAGAGTTATTAAGTCCACTGAAAAAAACTGAAATATTTTCAGTATATAGTTTCTTGAAGAGATTGCTCAACAGGTAAGACCACTTACTCCTCTTCCAGAGAACTGCCACCATGCCAAGCACAGTAGTTTTTTCTTGACAATCAGTGAGGCAAGAACACAGATCTGGAAATGGGTTCTCACAGTAACTCACATGACCTTTTGACTTGTCCCCTAGTAGCCAGCACTTGGCCTTCCTTATAAAACTGGACTTGAGCTTTTAGATCCCAGGGAGTAAAAAGCAGATCTGTTTGGCTCCTTCCCTCTTACAGAGCACCTCCGGAGTTCAGTGATTGATCGTAAAGACTTAATCATCAAAAGAATTAAGCCCAAACCTCAGCAAGGAGATGACATCACGGTGGTGGATGTGGAGAAGCAGATTGAGGCCTTCCGAAGCCGCCTGGTCCACATACTGGGAGAACCTCTGGTCCCACAGCTCCAAGACAAAGTGCATTTGCTGAAGCTGCTGCTCTTCTACGCTGCTGACTTGAACCCCGACACGGAGCCTGCCCCACAGCACTGAGGCAACCAGGCTTCTAAGCACCGAGAATACCTCCTGCCTGGCCAGCTCCCTGGAAGCTCTGAAGTGTGAGCAGCAGTTAGGGATGTCACAGGACCAAACCTATCCTGTTTATCTGTAGGTTGTAATAAGTTTATAACTCTTCAGTATATATCTTTTTTTTTTTTTATAATTGTTACCTAGCCTATTCAAATATGGCTTAAATATACAAGGTGTATATATTTTTTATTAAATTATTTATCTATGCTTTTGAAACAGACAATACGATGTGCACTATATGTCCAGCATTTCCACTCAAGATGTGAAAGACCCCTTCTGTGAACCGTCTCCATCAGTGTTACACCGCTCAAGGTACTGGCGGCCTGTTTCTGGAAAGACGTTAGTTTTTCCTGAATAGAGCACATTCTATATTAGACTTTTTAAACTGCCTAAGAATAGGACCTGTGGCCAGTTTACTAAATCTAAGAAAGCAGGCAAAGAAGCAAAAGAATACAGCCTGTTAAAGAACTATCTGATGCCAAAAGATACAGTAAAAAGGCACCAAGTTTACGATGCTCAGGCTCCACTACGGGGCAGGCAGGATGGACAATAAAGACCTGACTTTGAGAAAGTAGTAAAGATTTTTATTGTCAATACAAGATAACACAAATAAATTAATTTTACAGCAATCTTAGACTCCAGGGCTTCTCTGTGAGGTTAGCTCATTATGTAAACAAACTGCTATCTAAGTGACCTAGCAAACCCTGTGGACAATGAGGACAAAGGGAAGAGCATTTCCCTGCAGCCTTTCCTCCATAAGACATGTTACTGAACATATGAGGCTAACTTGGTAGAATAAGGTGACACCAAGCTCATGAGAACCTGCATGAAGCCATGAGAACCCAAGCCAGTTGTGTCTACTTTACCCTAACACAGGCTTAAGCTGGGAGTGGTGGTACATGCCTTTAATCCCAGCACTGGGAGGCAGAGGCAGGTAGATCTTCTCTGAGTCTACTGGGCGAGTTCAGGCTAGCCAGGACTACATAGTGAGACCCATCTCAAAAACCAAAACACACACAACTAAGACAGCACACTAGGGGTGAAGCTCTGTGGTAGAGCACTTTCCTAGCATGAGTAAGGCCAGTAATGGAAGGTGGGGGGAGGAACCACTCGCCAATATGAAACCAGTAGACTTAATCAGGAGCTAATTTCATGTTGAAGTGTAAAAGAAAAGGGGCTGTGGGTACTACTGTTCTGACACAGCAGATAAGGGCCCATTCGGACAAAAAAGTGGTGCAGTGACTAATCAACAAAAAGAACCTAAGCTGATCAGCGGTGGTACCTGCCTTTAATCCAGCACTCTGGAGGCAGAGGCATGTGGATCTCTGAGTTCAAGGCCAGCCTTGTCTACAGAGCTAGCTCTAGGACAGACAGGGCTACATACCCTGTAGTTGAGCTTAGAGACCAGGGTCCTGCCAAGCGTAGGTGTGAGCTGTACGCCACTCTCAGACAAGTCCAGGCCCACATACAAGGCTAAAGCACGCCAGGAGGCCACAGGCTGTCCACACTAGCTGGCGGGCACATCTGTCGTGACTTGTTGCCGCTCATAGTGATCATGGAAAAAGAATCAAGAGGCCTTAGTTTTAAAAGCGCACCAGCACTATTTACCTAGGAAAGCAAGGGTCAGAGTCCCTCTCTAGGATAAATGATTAAAAAAATAATAATAATAGGTTCTCCACTCTACACTTCTGACATTTTCCACCAACCTGAAAGCAGTGCAAAATGGTTCCTCTCACACAGGGACAATCTGTACAATGTCACTAGGCCTCAGTTAACTATGTCACTCCTATGTCAGAGCCCAGGGAAAGCTGAAGAGCCTGGACAGAAAGCATTCTAGAAGCCAGTGGGTGTGAGCACATTCAGGTCACGGGGTTTGATAGTATGGGTTCGAGTTGGTTGTTTCTTCCCTTCTATCATTGGGATGTCCATCTTAGGCGGCCTGAAGGTTGCTGGATCTTCACCTACTCGTGTGGCCTGGGCACGCATGAGCTCCATAGGAGAGGGTTTCGGTGCACCTTTGTAAGCCTGGATGGCAAAACCTGCCGAGGAAGATGGAGCAGATTATAGTCCCCGGCCCACACAGTGGCCAGGGGCCTTGCTGCTCTTTGAAAGAACTGCCTTACCAGAATCAGACTTCTGCAGGGGTCTCGGTCCAAAGAGGCTCCATTTGTCTGCTGAGTTCCTATCATTTCCACTGCCAGGATCCATGGTGTGAGGATTCGGGGCAGGTAAGGCTGTGGAGGAGCCAGAGGGGAGCCAGCCTCTGGAACAGAGAAGTAAATATATGTTCCTGTATGTCCTCTTCCTGTGTCACTAGAAGAATCTCACATCTAAGCAACAAGAAGCCACAGGCTGGAGCCCAGCCTCATCTCAGCACCGGCTCGAGACACGGGCTCAGAGCACCCAGGAAAGCTCACCTGGACCTCTGCTTAGGGGATGAGTGAGGGGTGCTGCTGGGGCTGGGCTGGGCTGAAGCAGGGTGCTTCTCTTCTTTTGTTGTCTCTCCACTCTGCAGCTTCAGTTTCTGTCCCATGGGTGAGAAAAGGCATTTCACAGTGAGACCAGACACAAAGCAGATCAGCCTGGGCATACGTGTGCTGGTGCACATCCTAACTTCAGGCAGGCATGAGAGTCCGTGTCTCTAGGGAACTGTACTCTGGCATCTCAAACACTTATGCTACAAGCTGGGCACTAGAACTTATATTTCCAACAAAGCCAAGTCATTTAGGGAAACAGCCATACGGCTGTATAACCCTTTGGCCTGGCCTGCAATTCTGCTCCTGTCTTTCAGTACAACCCCTGCCCTTCTCAGCTTTCAAAGCCAAGACTCAGGCTTGCTGTCCTCTTTAGTGAAATGCTTCCTCTACGAAGCCTACCTCATTCTCTGTCCTCTCTCCCACAGCCAACCGCCTCACAGCACTGTCAAAATACCACCAACAGACTGACAGCTTAGCAGAGAGTCAGCGGCTTTTTTAGGTCTAAGCTCCAGTAGTAGTGGTGCCTGTCCTCCATGAGGGATACACTTCTGGACCTAACGTGACTTTCAACATATCAATTTGTTTAAGTTGACAGCCCTCTCGAGTAGCATCTGTCTTGTCGAAACTCAAATGGATACCAACTCAACACGATATCTCCCAGCAGTGACTTTTAAACTTAGCCTGCAGATTCATCTGGTATACTCATTCACAAGGCAGCCCGTTCACGGTGTCCTATATCCTCCCCCGCCCCACGCACACACTGTCCACCATCTTTTACGCTATGTTCTCCCTAAGCCCAAAGGAACTTGTAGTGGTCACTTGGACTTTTCTCTTTCTTTAGAGACTTACTTTCGTGTGTCTGAGTGACCGCCTGCATGTATGTACATGCACTCAAGGGTTCAGCGTGCACACAGAGACCTCCCCAAAGGCCACCAACAGGGTGGATGGCCTCCAGGCTGGCCTCCAACTCAGAGATCTGCCTGCCTCAGTGCTAGGATTAAAGGTACGAACCTAGCCTGGGCTTTTTGGGTGTTTTGCGACAGGGTCTCACCATGTAAGCTCCTGATGTCCTAGAAGTCGCCATATAAATCAGGCTAGTCTCGAATACACAACCGCCTCTGCCTCCAAGTGCTGTGCATACAGACATGCATCTGTCTGGCACCACCTTAGCTTTTTGGTCTTTTGAGACTGTCTCTCCTGGGATCTGGGGTTAATTAGTCTAGGCCGACTGGTCAGCAAGCTCCAGGAATACAGCGAGACGGCCAGCACATGCCACCATGGCTGGCCTTATCCGTGGTTTCTAGGGAATGGTGCTCATGGTTCTGTAGCAGGTACCTTCCTGCCTGATTTCTCTCTCCAGTTCATTCTTTACTTACAAAACAGTGCATAGAATCTACTTCCACGGATCAATGTCAAGACTGTCTAAGCACATGAGTCATAGCACCACTCAGTATAAAGTGCCTCTCTGAAAGAACCCTGTGAACAACAGTGAGATGGATTAGTAGGAAAGGGCACTGGCTGCCAGGCTAACAAGCTACAGAGTGGACGGAAAGACCAAACTGTACAAGTTTTTCTCTGACCTCCATGTGTTCCATGGCATGAACTAACACATATACAAAAACAAACAAACAAATGTGAAAAGACAAAACTTTTAAAAGAAAATCATTAAAGCATTTCATCATAGCCAGGCATGGTGACATTGCAGTAATCCCAGCACTTGAAAAGCTGAGGCAGGAAAACCATGACTTTGAGTCCAGCTTTAAACTACACAGAAAGATGCATCTCAAAAAGTAGAGGATGAGGCTGGAGAGGAGCCGTGGCAGTGAGAGCACTGGCTGTTCTTCCAGAGGACCCCAGTTCAGTCCCCAGCACCCACAGGACAGCTCACAATCCTCTCTAACTCTAGATCCGGGGATCTGATGCTCTCTTCCAGCCTCTGCAGGAACAGGTACAGAAGTGGGGCTCAGATATATGTGTAGACAAAACCCCATATATAGAAAATAAGTCCATGAAACAAAAAACAAGGGGTGAGAGGCTGAACTACCCAGTATGTATGAGGCTCTGGCTCGAAATCGGGTAGCAAAACACTAACCATCACTAAATAAACCTCCCCACCCCCAACCCACCCCAGCCCAACACAGGCTCTCTTAGTGTAGCCCTGGCTGGCCTGGGCTCTCAGAGATGTACCTGCCTCTGCCTCCCAAATGCTAGGATTAAAGATGTGAACCACCACACCCAGCTCCAGAATTTCCTTTTTTTTTTTTTTCTGTTTGTTTGTTTGTTTTTCTAGACAGAGTTTCTCTGTGAAACAGCCCTAGTTGTCCTTGCTTTGTAGACCAGGCTGGCCTAGAACTCAGAGATCCACTTGCCTCTGCCTCCCGTGGATGTGTACCACCACAACCGGCTTCTGAGTTTAATTTTTACAAAAGTCAAGTCTAAATTGGTGACATGCATGGTGGTGCTTACCTGTAATCCTAGCACTTGAGAAGCAGAGGCAGGACTACAGTTCAAGCTAGCCTGAGGGGCTGTTTGTTTGTTTGTTTGTGTTTGTGTGAAGCAGGCCTTCACCCAGGAGTGCCACTTGAGCAGCACAGCCCTGTCTGTTTGCCCATTCTCTCCTTGCTAAGCTGGGAACTTGAAAACCACAAGCGTACCTCACCTATGAACGATTCTGCTCACTTACATGGAGGGCTTCTGCCACTCGGAGGTACTTGGTCTCCTCCGTGGTGAGGCCCTTATGGGGTGTGTAGCCAGCATCTCTCAGGCCCGCCTGTTGCTCAAAACGCTGGATGCTCTCCTGAGTCTGTTCTAAAGAAAGGATAGCATCATTACCCCCTAACCAGTCGCAAACCAGCTGGGACAACACAGGTCTCTGTTCTCCCACAGGCAAAATGACACACTGCCCACTGGAGAGTAAAGAGTGCCCCAGACAGGCCCTGACAGAGCACACTGAGAAGCAAGCTGCCCTGAAGAGATGCTGGATGCCTTGCCTCCTCTCACTCTCACACCTCATTAGTAACAGCAAGCAGAAGGCACCCAACATCTGGACATAGTAAGAATTCCAAATCAGTAAGCTCCCAACTAACCACCTGCACAGAAACCCTGCCAAAGAGAGGCAGGTCGTGTTCCTGCCAGCTGACACCAAAGCACCAGCCAGAGTCACAGCACAGCCACCTGCCTTTAACTAGCCCAGGCCCACAGATTCCAAGTTTCTCCCTGTTGCTGTCCTGGCTAGCTAACCACGTTCTTTTGACTATACAGTTAGTTCACAAGTCACTCACACCATGGAATGAAAAAGATTTTTTTTCCTAGTCTACAAACTTTGCACACTTTGCATGAGCATGGCAGCTGAGGACTGTGGGGTTCAGGCACTGCACTTTCTATGTGCACGAGTGTGCTGCCTGCATGTGTATCTGTGGTGCATGCCAAGTGCCCTCAGAAGCCAGAACAGTCCAGCTACAGAATACAAGTAGGAGCTGCTGCTTCAAGTGGGTCTAGACTTTGACTTTTTGAGTAAACTGGCCAGAACTGAGCAAAAAAAACCTGATGCCCCAGGGGAAAGTGAAGAGCTTTGACAGACGAGGCAACCAAGGAGGACCGCTGGGCAGCCCCTGCCGGTGAGGGTACTACTGCTGACATGCAGAGCCACCACACTGAACAATCAACCCCACACACCCACCACATCCTTGAGAAGGATGCAGCTTCAGTAACTTGTGACAGAAGTTTAAAATGTGGAACTGGAGCAGGCTGAAGAGATGGCTCAGTGGTTAAGAGTGCTGTCTGCTCTTCCAACGGACCTAGGTTCAATTCCCAGCACCCACATGGCAGCTCACAACTGTCTGTAATGCCAATTTCAAGAGATCTGATACCTTCACACTAAATACACATTTAAAAAAAAAAAACTTAAAAAAAATGTGGAGCTGGAGAGATGGCTCAATGCTATTTTGCTCCTCTTCCAGAGGACCCGGGTTCAGATCCCAGCACCCACAATGGCTAGCTCACAATTATCTGTAACTCTAGCTCCTGGGGATCTGATGCCATTTTCTGATCTCCTCAGATATGTTCTCTCTCTCTTTCTCTCTCTCTGTCTTTCTCTCTCTCACACACACCCTCCCCCAGATACTCTCAAGTACACAGATTATACACATAAATAATTTTTAAAAAATAATAGTAAGTTTAAAAAGAAAAAAGATGGCTCTCATATCAAGCCTCATTAGGACCATCAATGACACATTCTAAATGCTAAAGAAACTTGAAGCACCAAACCTGGTCTTCCTGGTAGACTAACATGTACAAGACCATGGCCAGCACTATCAAAAATCTGTTTGTGACAGTATATATACGTTTGTAAATGCTGTATGAACAATTTCTGAAATAGCTGGGTATGGTGGCACATGACTATAACTCCAGCACTCAAGCACTCAGGCAAGAGGCCTGTCTTGAGTTTACAGCCAACAGGCACACAGCAAAAAGACCCTGTCGCTAAACAAAACCGAAACAATCCTATGTAATGGCACAAGGCACTACCCTGTGTGTCACCTTCTCTAGGTCAGCAACAGCAGGAGATCAAGCTCCTGCTAATCAACTCTGCGGCCCTGCGATCAGCCTGCCAGCTGCATCCCCGACCTCAGAAAAGTGGGCACAGCATCTAGTATTAAGTAACTTGTCCACGTGGTCTTGTCCACTGGTCAAAACAGGAAACAGACTGTATCAAGCAACAGCAGGACTGTATCTAACCAATGAGACCCTTAAGAGCAAACCTGCCTCCTCAATGAGGCAGAGCGGAGGGGTCCAGCACACACTCTTGTGTGCAGCCCCACAAAAGCAGACCTGCTTGAGCCACGGGCAGCTGAGGCCCACGCTCTCCTTCGCTCGCTTTACTCTGCTGGACTGAAGGCCTTACTTGTGATCAGGGAATTCATGATGACATGGGTAGCTTTAGCCTTCACCACAGGCGCCTTGTCTGCACTGTCAGTGGCTGTTGATGGAGTCACAGCAAGGGAAGAGACACTGGCCGCGCCTTCCTCTGTCTGTTCAAGAGAGGTAAGGAAGCACATGAGCGGGGCAGGGGACCACACGCCTGCACTCACTTCTTTAAGAAAGAGTTCTAAGAATCCGGGACCTGGAAGTGAAGAAATACTTGACAGGGACAGCAATGGTCACCTCCACTCGCCCAAAGTGACAACAGGAATGGACTTCATGGGAAGAGTTTGGAGCCCTGAGACCTAACTTTCCTCTGCCTGCTCCTAAGACTACAGATGAAACTCTGGGCTTGATGGCACACACGGATCCAATGTTAGGCTGAGGCAGGAGGATTAGTGTGAATTCAATCTAGCCTGGGCTACACAGTAGTTTATGGCAAGTTTGGAATATCTACCAAAACCCTGTCTCCACAACTGAGAACACAGTAATGAGGGACAGAGAGAAGAAAGGACAGGGGGACAGAACAAACTGGAACAGACACTGCCTCCAAAGCACTGACCATGGCCCAGTGCTAAGCCTTCCTCAGCTGAGCAGAGCATTTGCTCAGGCCCGGCCCTGCATTACTCCTCTGAATTCTGGCCAAATACATTCCGGGCTGCTTGGTAGGTCTGCACTGTCAGAGGGGAGACACAGGCCTCCACAGAGTACAGTGTGGCCATCTATAGTCCCAGCACTCTGAAGACTGGCTAAACAGTGAGACCCTATGTCAAAAGAAAAAAACGAAGAATCTGTCTCCACAGTTGGAGAGATGGCTCAGCAGTTAAGAGCACTGGCTGGTCATCCAGATGTTCCCGAGTTCAAATCCCAGCAATCACATGGTGGCTCACAACCATCTATAATGGGATCTGATGCCCTCTTCTGTCATACAGGCACACATGCAAATAGAGTACTCATACAGATAAACACATCTTTAAAAAAAAAATGTCTCTAGCCTAGTTTATGTGAAGCCTTGGATTTTATCCCCAGCACACAAAAAAATAATAATAATAGTAGTAGTTTTTTGTTTTTGTTTTGTTTTTAATAAAATGTATGTTCCTAACAAACTCCCAAACGTAATGGTTAGTGTTAACTTGATGGAATGTAAAATCAGCTGGCAGAGAGGCCTTTGGCATTGTGAAGAACTTTCTAAGTTCCGTTAGCCCTTGGAGTGTCTGTGAGCCCTTGTAACTGACTGTGATTTGATGTGGGAAGATCCACCCCGGCGGTATAAAATGGAGACGGAGACAGCAACCATTCTCCTCTCTGCTCCTGAGACACACCCACTCCTTCAAGTTCTTCCACCTTGACTTCCCCAATAGGATGGGCAGACCTTGAACTGTGAGCTAAAATAAGCCCTCTTTCCTGGAGTTGCCTGTTACACAGCAACAGGAAAGGAAACTGGACCACTGCACAAGGCTCACATGTCTCCCAGGCTGGGCACTGAACCCAGGGCGTGGCACACGCTCACTGAGCACTCCACCATATTCCCTGCCCTTTTTTCACAACTATTTTGAGACAAGATCTCATTAAATTGCCTGGACTTGCCTTGAATTCACTCTGTAGCCCAACCAGGCAATTCTAGAACAGCCTTGAAAAAAGGGGCAGTTTTTTGATTGGCTGGTTGGTTTGGGGTTTTTTGGCTGTTTTTATACAGGTTTTTATTGTAGTTGTTGTTTCTTTGGTGGGGCTCCTGCTGGCCTCAGACTCGAGACCCCCCTTATGCAGGCTGCCACAGTTCTTATAGTCTCCCCACTGTTTTTAAACAAAGCATTTCTCTTCAACAGCTGCTGGGTAAGATTACAGCAGACAACTGACATAAGGAGTTCTCCACAGAGCCGTGGAGGACAGCGCTTAGAAAGAAGCCTCTGTTCTGAGAGTGCAACAAGGAAAACAGAAATCCTTAATCAGACTCAGCTCAGCTCCACACCAGGCCTCTAAGGCTCCACAACACCCGTGAGACAAGAATTCCCCTCTCTCAGACAGAGGCAACTATGCTCAGGGGTAAAACTGTGTGCAAGTCACAAACCACTTGGGATCCATTGTAGGTCTGCTTCAGCACACCCTCAGTGCTTGCTTCCTCAGGCCCCAAGTGGGGCTGCAGGTCAAATGCCCTGTCTGAGCTCTTGGGTCACTCAGGCCATAGGAAGACCTTGCTGGCATTCCCGCCATGGGTGTCAGAGGTTGAGAGCACAAGCTTCGGCGGCACAGTGCTCACAGTGACCTGCAGGCAACCAGCTGTGTGCACATGGAGCTGTGGAGGAGCCTGAGAAGACGGTGCCGCGCTCCTGCCAGCACAGGGAAAGGCACATGAGCAAAAGCTCAGTAGGTGTTCAAGAGACCCAGGCTGATGCCAGTCACAAAACAAGCTTTGTTTTTGGACTCTACACCAGACCTTCAGCTTAACACTGCAATAGAATACAAACTGAGAGTTACCACTCAAAACCTAAACTCTCAAGTGCCCCAAAATCTGAAATTTTTGCACACTGCCATGACAGCACATCCTGCAGTGTAAAACTTCATCTTGTGCATAAAGGTAGGACCACATGAAAGTAATCCGGCGATGAGCAGAAGGCATGTTTGCAATGTAAGTTAATCTTAGATGCAGACCTCGGTCCTATCCCCCACTGTCTCATTGTGTCTAAGAGGACACCCCAATAACTCTATGGCTGGATAACAGAGACTCTACAAAGAAGGACTCATCAGAACTCAGGTACGGAGGGTCTGGAGGTCAGCTTTTAGTTGCAGAAGTAGAGTCCAGAAGAATCTTATATAGCTGACACTACTGTTCGAGCTTTGAACTTGTAAAAGGGCACAGAAGATAGATAATGGGGGAAGCTGCTGCCTGAGTTTGTGGGGACAGAGAATCACTGAGGGCTTCTGGAGCAGGAGGACAAAGGGGGTGAGTCTGCCAGAAGCAGTCAGCAGGCTAAGGTACCTTGTCGAGATGCTGATACTTGCGCTCTGGAATCACTGGCTTCCAGGGGATGCTGCCCATGTCCGATGGAGGAGGAGTCATGGGCGCAGGGTCCTCCAGGGCATCATCATAGCTGAATGCCCGGCGGCACATCCCGATGGGCAGGGACATCTTGCCTAGAGGCCCACTGGGGGCAAGAGCTAAGAACAAAGACACCTGTCATTACAGGATATCAGCTGAACATGCTGGTGGCTGTAAGTCAATCTGTAGACAAGAAAGCCTCGAAACTTACTTAGGGAAGTCTGCCTGTGACACACGATCCAGTCAGGGGAGGGAGTGCTGAGTGCCTTCCTCACCCACAACACTCAGAGTCTCCACCACCTTCTCAGCAACATGATCCTGTCTCCACTCCTCCTCCTTCAGACAAGGTCTTGCTATGTAGTCCTGTACTCACTATATAGCTGGCCTCAAATTCTGTGAGTGCTCTCCCTCAGCTCCTCCCATGTGCTGGGATTAAAGGCATAGATCCTTTAATCACCAGATCCTAATCCATTCTTATAGACTAAAGAACCTTAACCCCAATTTTAAATTACCTAGGCAAAGTCTCAACTTCAAAGCACAATTTCTAGTCAAAATTCAAACTTGTTTCATTTCAAAACTTGTACGCTAAACTACCTCAGTCGCACAAGACTGAAGAGGCTAGAAAAGAGAGAAGGTATCTTCTCCCTTTCCTTCCCTCTCACTCCATAGCCCGACATTGTCTCGTCTGATGAGGAAACTAAACCCTAGTTGTGAACAACTCTGCCTCACTTTGTAGACAAAATGGCTAGCTGAGGCTCGACCACGCTTATGACAAGCCCCGTGCCTTTCGTGTCTCCCCACAAAGAGAAGTACAGGATCAGTTCACACAGTCTGAGGTCTGGTCTAGTTTCTAGTGTTCTGGTGAGTTAAACATTTTTCATCACAGACTTTTTTTGTTTGTTTGTTTGTTTGTTTGTTTTTTGTTTTTCTAGACAGAGTTTCTCTGTATAACCTTGGCTGTCCTGAACTCACTCTGTAGATCAGGCTGGCCTTGAACTCACAGTGATCCACCTGCCTCTGCCTCCCTCTGGACTGCTGGGATTAAAGGTGTGCACCACCACACCACACACAGACATTTCTGAGAGCCACTCTCATCAACTACAAGCTTGATCCTGCCATTCCTGTGCACAGGGAACTGACTGCTAGAATGTCCAGCTGCGACAAAGGCACCAAGATGCTTCAAGGGCACTCTCAGCTGTGCCACAGCAGAGAGCAAGGTTTGTCTGTCTAGTTCACTGATCCAGAACCTGCCTTCAAGGTGATACTTTTGCTTTTGTATAATCATGCCCTTCAAGAGAGCAGTCTGCCTGGCACCAAGTCCAAACCCCCAAATTCCACTTAAACAGCAAGGAGACCCATGTGACTACTGCCAATATTAATAACTGACAACCCAAGAGGTTATGGTCGCCAAGGGCCAGAGAGAGAGAGAGCAATGGGGTGTATCTCCTAACCGGTACAAAGTCTTTCTGGGGGCATGAAAATGCTCTGTAAGTAGATTAATTTGATGGATGCACAATCTAATGACACACCCAACCAGTAACTCCCCCACTTTGTGTGGGTGAGCTTAGAGTATGTGCATTGCTATCTCAACTAAACAGACATGCAAACAAAAGTCACTGCGCACTTACACCCTCCTCATATTGAACCCTCATTAACCAGACTCTCTTTCCATCTCCCAGCTCAGGAAGCCATGGCACAGAACATAAGCAATACCACACAGCTAGCAAATGTGCAGTCGACGCACAGCCAGGGCTCACACCTTGTGCCCACACATGCTTCCATGCTCCAAAGCATTGACCTAAAAGTGCAACACGGCAGCTCTGCACGCTTACGGGGGTTATGACAATCCCGTATGAATGGCGGGCACGCATGATGGTAAAGACAAGACATCAGGGCAGAGGAGGGAAGCCTCCACTGACCTACCTAACTTCTGTTAACCTGCCTAAACCACGTTTAAGATCTCTCCTAAAAACAAGACCAAGTACTGCCCACTAGGAAATCACTCAGGAGATCAAAAACTTTTTTGAGCGAGGCATGGTTAACACTCTTAATCCCAGCACTCAGGAAGCAGAGGCAGGAGGAGCTCTGTGAGTTCCAGGACAGCAGGTCTACAAAGTGAGTTTCTTTCTCATACAAAACACAAAAAACTTTTTTGAGCAATAAATGCAGATTTATCAACAACTTTTAACTCCATCTGCAAATTTGTTTAAGCCTGGTGTGGTAGCTCATGCCTTTAAACAAAGCACTTGGGAGGTAGAGGCAGAAAGATCTCTGTGAGTTCAAGGCTAGCCTGGTCTAAATAGAGTTCCAGGCCAGTTGGAACTACACAGAAAGAACCTGTCTCAGAAGAAAAAAAAGTGTTTTGGTTTTGTTTGTTGGTTTTTTTTTGAGACAGGGTTTCTATATGTAGCCTTGGCTGTCCTGGACTCAGTTTGCAGACTAGGCTGACCTCGAACTGACACTGATCCGCTTACCTCTGCTTCCCTGAGTGCTGGGATTAATGCCTTGTGCCACCTGGATAAAAGTGTTTAATCTTTACAACAGACCAGTAGGCAACACCATCTCCACTTCTGAGAAGCAGAGACTCCACTCATTCAGATTGACCATTCTGGAACAATCCCATACCTCAGCAACTTGGGCACTACTGTGCAAGACCAAGAACACACTAAATGTTGATGCAAATATTTTTTTTAAAATAAGATTTAACAGTGGTTTGCACCTTTTGACCAGACCTCCACCCTACCCTCACCACCCTCAAAACGTGGCAATTTAATCACACCAACATATCCTACAAACACATTAATTCTCCTCCTTTAGTATAAATACTGTCATACACTAAGGGAGGAGGCCCTAGGATCTGGGTTTATACTGAGACTGAGAGGCTAATGAGAGAATACTAAAACGACAATCAAAAAGAACTCAGTTTACCAGGTACTTCTGGTGGTCTTGACGCCATTGATAGGCTGGGGTCCAGGTGTTCCTTCTATACGGAATCTGGAGCTGAGTACCTGCCACCTAATGAAAATAACAAAGGGCGTCTCCTGAACAGCAGAGGGTAACTCCAGTGCTGTTCTTTCGACAGACACACAGGTTTATGGCTTGTTAACAAGGCTGAAACATACACGACAACCAAGGAGTGACAACACACCCCGAAAAGGATAAAGTTCAAGGGTTCACCCTATCCACTGGCTCATCTTGACAACTGAGAAGGTGAAGGCAACACGCCAGGGAAGGCAGACACCTCACCACAGTGAAATGACGATGGACGCGGACAGACAGATGTTAATGAGGAGCACAGGCCAGCTGCTGCAAATTAGCAAAGCGTCCGAGGAAGAGTCCATGCCAAGGCTCTAACAATAACCAACCAGGGTTGGCACAGTGCTCATACGTCCACCAAACGATGGACATTCGTTCATTTCCCACTATCATCCTCAGGCGCCGGATGATATAGCATTTCCCCTTGACAGAAACGGGCTATGCAACATAGAAGACCTTCTCCGTATTTCTAACGCCGACTAACAGCGAGCGCACCTCACACAGAACTTGTCTTTAAAGCCCTTGCACTGCAATGCACAGCAGGCATTGCCGACCCAAATTTTTGTCCAGGTCTACAGGGGCCACTCACCGCGGTCCAGAGGTCATCCGCAAGCCAGACACTCGTCCTTCCCCTCTCCCTTAGCGACCCCAAGCCCACCACTCTCCTTCAGGAGGTACAAAACAAAGCCTCTGGGACGAGTAAAGCCTGGCCAGAGCCTTCCATGGTCCCACTCCTTAACGCTAAGTCGGCAGGTTCGCGGCAAGCGGGTGCTTGGAGGCTCCCTGGGGGATCTTCCCGGGGGCCCTACAACCCCGCTAGGGTGGACCGAGGCCCCCACTCGGCCCCCAGGCCGCGCCGTCCCGGGGCTCCGGCTGTCCCCAGCACCGCCAGGCCGCGGTCCGTCACCTGCTCGCCCGCCGCCTGCGGCCCGAACTCCGGCACTAAAGAGGTTCCGAGGCCCCAGATGGCCCAAGAGGCTGCGGGGCTGAGCAGAGCCGAGCCATGGTGAGGGCGCAGAAAGTGCTCCCCTACGGAGGACTACTGCCGGCCGGCAGCTGAACCTCAGACCAGCCCCAGACCTTCGAAAGTCGCGCGAGATCTGACTCGGAGCTTCGCGGGGCGTGCTGGTAATTGTAGTCCGCACCATAACCAACACTCAACAACAGGCCTGCGCCAGCACCTTCAGCTGCCCAGGAGGCTGGACTCCACAGGAGGATCCCACTGGGTTCCCAGACAAAGTCACCGGTTACCTCACTTCCTTCGAGCACTTGGAGGCTGAGACAGCAGCAGTACTTGGACCAAAGTAGCGCTGTGTAAGAGGAGGGAGGGAAGGAAAAGGAAGATTGTGGGGCTGCAGAGATGGCTGAGAGGTTAAGAGCACTGGCTGCTCTTCCAAAGGTCCCGAGTTCAATTCTCAGCAATCACAGCCATCCACAGTGAGATCTGGTGCCCTCTTCTGGCGTGCAGGTGTACATGCAGACAGAACACTGTATCCATAACAAATATATAAATATTAAAAAAGGAAAACATGAAGATTGATGGCTGGAGATGTTCTCAGCAGGTAAAAGCGCAAGCACTGTACTTCTAGAGGACCCGAGTTTGTTCCCAGCATCCGCTCTTGGCATCTCACAACCTCTTGTAACTACAGCGCCAGGAGATCTGGCGCCCTCTTCTGGCTTCCGGGACACTGCACTCACGCACATTCCTGCACTTAATACGTGTAAGAATATAATCAGTGTTTTAAAAGTGAAGATACAGAAGGCACAGTAAATACCCCTTGAAGTCAAAGGCAATCAAGTTCACAAAGGACCTCCCAGGACTTGTGGCCCTCTCACCGTTTCCCGTGCCCTCACTCCCTTGTCGAGGTCTGTCGGCAAACCATGCATACACTAGTGGTTCTCAACCTTCCCGACGCTGCGACTCTTTAATACAGTTCTGCAATTTCTTCATATTGTGCTGACGCCCCAGCCATAAAATTATCTTTGTTTCTGCTTCATACGTGGAATTTGCTACTATTATGAATCAGGATGTAAATATTTGTGTTTTCCGATTGTTTTAGGTGACCCCTGTGAGAAGGTTGTTGGACCCCAAAAGGGGTCGTGACCCACGTGTTTAGAACCGCTGCCACCATACACCCTCCCTACACACATCACACACACAGTGGATCCAATAGTTAATCTCTTTGGTTAATAAGCAGTGAAGTAGCTGGCACCGTGGCGCAGGCCTGTAATCCCAGCACTCAGGGAGGCAGAGGCAGATCTTTGTGAGTTCAAAGCCAGCCTGGTCTACAAAGTGACCGTGGCTGGTCTAGGACAGCCAAGGCTACACTGAGAAACCTTGTCTCAATAAACAAAAAACAAAAAAGCAGTGAGGTAGGCGTCTGGGTCAGGCAGGCTCCACACTAACACTGGACCAAGCACAGGCACGTACCACAACCTGCCTCCCCACCATAGTGAATAATAAGTGTGAGGAACATGGAGCTGAAACTTCTCTGTTCCCTGAGAGAAAGCTGAGAACACGTACCCTCACCTCTGTCCCAAGTCCAAGGCCTGCAGTTACCTCAGGGAGCAGCGGTGGCTGTAGAAGGGAAGGGAAGATCACACCCAGGGCAGAATTTGATTTTGCCTGTATTCTGTCAGGACCAAGACTGCACCAGGAGTTGATGTCTTCTGTAAATTCTATACTTGGCTTGTGAATAACATGGTTGATTTGCAATGTGACTTTTGAAGAAATATGCCCAGTTTTTTTAACTCTCGTGAAAGCACAGTGACACCCTTCCCCTTATACTGTGATCAAAGGGTACACATTACAGCTCACAGAAAAGTTAAAAAGGGGGCTGGAGTGCCAGCTCATCGACTGAGGCCACTGGCTGCTCTTCCAGAGGGCCCAGGTTCAATTCCCAGCACCCACAGGGCAGCTCACCACTGCCCCTAATTCAAGCTCAAAGGGCTCGACAACCTCTTATGGCCTTGGCATGCAAATGGCACACAGACACAAGCAGGCAAAACACCCACACCCACTTAAAAAATAAAAATAAATCTTTTTAATGTTAAAGGATGCCAAGATCTACAATTACATCTTTGGATATGCAGATTTTAGAATAAGTACTACTTAATGCTCTGGAGAAAATAATCAGATCACTAGTAATAACTTAAAATTAACAAATGAAAACCCTAAACGAAAGGCTACAAAATCCCTTGGTCCAACTGTGTGTCTGTCTGCGTGTGTTTATACACAGTCTATAGGTGTGCTCATGTTTGCCATGCCCTGTATATGTACCAAACTGGATTATAAGTTGAGTGTTCATGCAAACTGAAAATGTTCAACTAATTTAGTTGAACTATAACAAGAATCTCAGAAAAAGAAGTTCTGGCTCTCACAACCTCAGTAGTCTGTGCACAGCCTCTTGTCCTCATGCACTGATTAAAGAGACGAGTGAGGCGAGGAAAATGTGCTCGGTGCAGCCTGTTGAGGGGAGCGAACAGAAGACTCTGAGCCCCAGGGTGGCCTGTGGGGCACTGCCGTGAGCTCTAGATGTTAACACAGAAGTCAGAGAAAGCCTGGAGAGACAGCGGTTAAGAGTGAGCTGCTCGGGGGCTGGAGAGATGGCTCAGAGGTTAAGTGCACTGGCTGCTTTCCCAGAGGTCCTGAGTTCAATTCGCAGCAACCACATGGTGGCTCACAACCATCTAAAATGAGCTCTGCTGCCCTCCTCTAATGTGCAGATATTATATACATAGTAAGTAAATTAATTTAAAAAAGAGTGAGCTGCTCTTGCCGATGACCTGATTTTAGTTCCCAGCACCCACCTCAGGCTGATCACAACCACGTGCAAACTCCAGCTCCAGAGGATCTGGTTGCCTCTTCCGGACTCTGCAGGCGTGCCTGTATGTGTATGCATGTGCACATGCACATAATTTTAAAAATTAAACTCCTTTTTAAAGACAGTGTCTTACTATGCAGTCCTGGCCGGCCTGGAACTCTGCCCAGTCAGCTGGGCTCCAACACACAGAGGTCTGCCGGTCTCGCCTCCCAAATGCTGGGGTTAAAGGTGTGTATCGCTGTACACAGCCTTATTCCTATTTTACGTGTGTGTGTGAGTGTTTGCGTGTATGTGTGTGTTGTGGGGTATGCACCAGAGAAGACTGCTCAGACATGGGTTGAAGCCAGCAGAAAATCTTTACTAGCTGGCCAGAAACTACACTGGGTGCTTGAGATCACATTGGAGACTGAGCCTTCCTCGGGACGAGCGGGAGGCAAAACCACAGAAGTCAAAAAGCTTTGAGATGTTCCCAGAACTGTGGACACTGATGGATTAGGCCTTTGTGTTAGTTCTGGCAGTTGGTGCTGAGTACTACATGCTGGATGGTACTTCCATCATGGAGTCATGTGTGCATTCCCCCTGCCCTTAATGAACTCACCCTGCTCTGAAGATGTCTACTTGGTCCTAAGGACCAATAATTTTACTGAACGATACATAATTGGCCACATAGTTTAAGATGCAGGGGCCCATTGTTAATCCAATCAAAATGAGACTTAAAGGCCCAGCCAGGGTTGATAGTAGATAGCCAGGGGGACCAAGAGAACAGAGACTAGTACCAATTATTCCCCAACTATGGCAACACTACTTTTCAATTACTCCTAATCAATTAACAGAGAAACAACAGGTTTTCCCTAAAGTCATATAAAGTTTTTTTTTTAATCTCATGAGAAGTCTAAGCCTTTTTAATTTTGTAAGATCATTTCTGCAAAAGAATCTAATTGTTTTAATACCTCTTTAGGTCCTGATGAACCCCTCCCTTAAGTTAGGAAAGCCTCAGATGAGGACAGTTTGCCACTAGCATTTGCTCACCAAGTAGTTTCAGGGATTTGGTAATGTTGTTAGCCAGATGAATTAACCTGTAGGGTAGAACATTCATGTGTGCCCCCAGTCACAGTGAGTTTTGTCAGGCAATGGACAGTCTGGCTAGCTCCTATCCCTGTGTAGTACGGGACCTGTTGCAGGATATTTGATCCCATTGTGAACCGCAAGATTGTGATCTGGAAAAACCTGTTTGCGGTTGTGGAGTGGTTCAGCCCTGGCACACACTTTAATCCCAGAGCCTTCTGTAAACAGAAATAAATAAAGTCAACCCTAGGTCAAGAGGTGGAGCAAGAAACCAGCTGACAGGAAGTGAACATGAGTAAACACAGGAAGCAGAGACATTGGGTTGAAGGGTATTTAAGACAGGATGGAGAAATGGAAAAGGCTTTTTCCTTCTGGGACGTTGTAGGCTGAGTAGGAAGGTCGGCTGGGTGCTTGCTCTGCCTCCCTGAGCTAGCAGGATTCACCTGAGCATCTGGTTCCCAAGTCTTTATTGGTAAAATCGAACATTTGGGCCAGGTGTCTAAGATAACCAGCAATCCTGGCCAATTTCTGGCTGGGAATGATTAACTCTATCCCCAGGGCCCCTTCTGTGGCATAGAGTCTGGTTTTCCCATTTCCCAAAGGCCAGAATCTTTTTTAAAATTTTTTTCAGAAAGCCTCAGTTTCACAAAATCCAGTTTGTGTAATGGAAACTCCCTTGTTCCGGCAATTATGGAACCCAGCCACGGGGCATGCATAGAACTGTAAACTCTGTATTTCTGTTTTAAAAGATAAATTTCAATATTTTTTTTTCCCCACACACAACCAGACACCACCAGTAAATTAAGCTGAAGATGGAATATGGCTCCTGGTCTGTAGTTATGCTAATACCTTCCTCAGTACCAGTCCAAGCCTGAGGGCAGTGGAGCTTGGACTATGACCCTCTATTCACACCCACAGTACAAAACACAGGACTCAGGAGGAGAAAGAGGGGCAGGGAAGGAGAGGCCCGTGGTGCCAATGAAACCTTAACTGTAATTGGTCCATACTATGGAGACAGTCTACTTGGACTTGGCAGCATCACGGCTTCTGCTTTCTTGACCTGGGTGTGGTGGAGCCATGGTGCAATGCCAGATGCCTTTA